CACCACTCCCTGCACTCTCTTAGAGGCCAATTTTGTTAATTAAATGTTTTGTTTGCGACGCGGCTCTCATTCATTTCGGACACGTCATTCCGGGCAGATCTAAGCCAGGGACCAGATCTCATTAGATAAAACCTATCAGAACTAAGAGAAAATGGAGGAGACACTAATTAAAGCTTTTAATTGTGTGGATTCACTGCCACGCTGCTGCTTTATCTGGCATCTGAAGGTTGGGAGGGCTGCACTGCGCTCCCCTCCCTGCAAGCGCGTTTCTCGGGGCGGGGAGGGAGGGAAAGGCCCTGGATTTTCGCCTCCCGCTCTCTTCCCAGGAACCTTGGCTTTCAATGAAAGCCGCTGCTGTAGCTCACCCAGCTCTACGGCTCGTTCTTGGTGGTTTGGTGGATTTCTGGAGGGGGAGCAGGGGAGGGGAGGGGAGGGGAGGGTTGTGTTGTTTAAACAGCAACAAACACACACAACCTCAGACGGTTAAAAAAGCTCATTAATAACTGGCCCTGTGGTCTTGGCCTGTAGGAGTCAAGTCCCCTTCACCTGGCGCCGTCAGGGCGATCGATCCTCCTTCCTGTTTTGCTGGTGCTGCCTGGTGCGCTCCCGCATCGTGGCCGGCCAGGACCTGCGCCTGCCTGCGGCTTGGGCAAGGGAACGGGCTGTGACACGCTGGGGCCAGGGATGCCCCGCGGAAAATTAAGACGGGGTTGGCAGAGGGGAACTGGTTGACACTCGTCGCCTAACGGGTGGCATCAACCCCGTGCTGAGGTGAGGCCATTTCAAACGGGAAAGGCCGAGGGCCTCGCTCCTGCCAGCACGACGCGCGTGGAAGCCTGCAAAGTCCATCTCCAGCGGGAGAGCTCCAAGTTAACTCAGCCCTCGCACGGCCAGGCCGTCTAACCCCACCTTGAGTGCATGGTGTCCAGTTCAAGTTTCAGCAAGCATCTGTCTGAGTTATTTTTGTAAGTCAAATTACATAGATCCAAACAGAAGTCAGGCGATGGAACAAGGAGATCAATTCAAAACTCTCATCTGATAAAGCATCCTATTCATAATCGCCCACATTAAAATAAACGAGTATTAATTTTTGGCAACACAAGACCAGAGGATTGTGATAAGCTTGCCT